CCAAGGGGCGGGGGAAGGAAGTGAGGTCCCCGCATTATGGTCCTCTCCTTGGTGGTACAAAGCAGCAGCCCCCTGGCGCAGGGTGGGTGACCTGTGTGAGTATTGTCCCTCACTCCTCTTGAGGCCTTAAGTTCCCTGCAGATTCACCTTCTGCTGCTGCTGCACAGGACTGGAGTGAGGTCTGGATGAGGGATGAGACAAGACCTTTCCTGGCTGGGTGAAGATGTAGTCCGCCAACACTTCTCCTTACCCTCCTGAACTCTTCTCTGTAGGGACCTTCAGAGCGATCTGTCTGTAGAGGAAGAGAAGGTACCACGTGTCGAAGAGCTCACTGTGTGTCCTGAATGGAATCACTGAGACCTGTCCACCCCTGGGTAGCCTCGAGAACTGGCTGGGATCTGGGGTACGGTTCTCACTCTTCACAGGGAAGTGTTCCCAGAGGTCTGGTCTTGCAGAGTGCTATTCATGCCCTGTCCTTGGGCATGAATACTTAACATTTCCCTTCAATCCACTTTAAATCACATAACTTCTATTACTTTAGACTTACCTTGAGCAATAATTGCAGGAAAACCACAAGCACATTGTGCCAAGCCATCCCCTTCCCCGTGCACATTAAATAAATATCTAGTTATTTTAAAACACTCAGGAGCGCCATGAAAAAAGAATTCTTTTGAGTCCCACCAAAGGTACACACACCACAAGAATCACAGGGGCAGTGGGGTGGAAGGGTACACAGCTGGGGTACACAGCTGCTTATAAGAGCCAACACAATGGAGTGCTGACACATGACTTTGAGCAAGAGTCAACTCCACCACTTACGTGTTGGTTTCTGAATACCCCCCCCCGTTTGTAAGGTGGACATTGTAATCTAGTTTGAGCAACCCATTATTTGAAAACCCCAAACCCAAAACTTTCTGAGTACCATCATGAAGCCACCAATCCAAAATCCCATCCCCGGACTTGAGGACTAAATCACAGTAAACATAAGGCTCAGTTTAAAAAAAAAAAAAAAAAAAACAAGCATCATATAAAATGGCCTTCAGGCTGAGTATAAGATATGTATGAAACAGAAATTAAACATAATTTTAGACTTGGCTTCTCATCCCCAAAGCTATCTCATTATGCATATGCAAATTTTCCAAAAAGAATTTTTTTAAAGTCTAAAATCTGAAACACTTTGGTCCCAAGCATTTTGGATGAGGGTTCAACTCCAATTTAGTTATGCAAAGGGATCTATGAAAAATGGGCCAGATGGTGGTGGTGCACACCTTTAATCCCAGCCCTTGGGAGGCAGAGGCAGGCAGATCTCTGTGAGTTCAAGGCCAGTCTGGTTTACAGAGCAAGCTCCAGGGCAGGCTCCAAAGCTACAGAGAAACCCTGTCTCAAAAACAAACAAACAAGGGGCTGGAGAGATGGCTCAGCGGTTAAGAGCACCGACTGTTCTTCCAGAGGTCCTGAGTTCAATTCCCAGCAACCACATGGTGGCTCACAACCATCCGTTATGAGATCTGGTGCCCTCTTCTGGTGTGCAGATATACATGGAAGCAAAATGTTGTATACATAATAAACAAATAAACCTTTAAAAAAACAAACAAAAAAGTAAAAATAGGAAAATAAATAAATAAATGGATGCAGAGCTTTGAGCACACTTTCTGAGCCATCACTCATCCCACAAAAATTTGTCAGGGCCCTATTCTACTTCAGGTATGGTAAGAGACATGTAGTGTAGATGAAGGAATGGTGTTCTAGCTCATGAAGTTTTGAGATGAAGGTTGAGCAGTGGTTCTCAACCTTCCTAATACCGAAGCACTTTGATACAGTTCCTCACGTTGTGGTGACTCCCAACCATAAAATTATTTTCATTGCTGCTTCATTACTGTGATTTTGCTACTGTTATGAATTGCAATGTAAATATCTGTTTTTTGATGGCCTTAGGTGACCCCTGTGAAAGGGTTCTTCAACCACCAAAAGGGTCGAAACACGCAGGTCGAGAACCTCTGTGCTAGAGAGAGCTGTGAATGATAATAAAAAATTGGTGATAACAGTAGAATTATTTATAAATGTTATGAATGATGATGATAATCAGGAGAGGGTGGAAGCTTTCTCTCAGGGCTGAGGAAGAGGGGATGAATGGAGGGGACTCAGGCGGAAGAGCTTAGCAGATGGACAGTGGGTGTAAGGAAGGAGGATGAATATGGGGTTCCACACAGGTCCCTGGCTCTGAGGACACATGACGGTGTTGATGGAGTTTGGAAACAAATAGGAAGGTGCAGCTGTTTGGTGGGACAGGGAGATGTCTGATGTTTAGATTTCCAGGGGAGATGTGCAGTGGGCAGGTCCATGTGGGATCCCAGAGAGCAAGAAAGAGTCCCACAGTGGGGACAAAAGTTTGGAAATCGTTTGAAGAGACACAGTCTGACATGAACAAAACCTTTTCAGTTGAGGAGATAACCCTTAAGGCAGGGCACACTGCCAGTTATGCTTGAAGGCCCCCTTGTAGTGAATGGATCTTATTGAAAGAGTCCATTCAAAGCCAGGCGTTGGTGGCACATGCCTTTAATCCCAGCAGTCACGAGGCAGAGGCAGGTGGATCTCTGTGAGTTCGAGACCAGCCTGGTCTACAAGAGCTAGTTCCAGGACAGCCTCCAAAGCCACAGAGAAACCCTGTCTCAAAAAAAAAAAAAAGAAAGAA